ACCAAGGTTGGGATGGTTGGGAAGGGTTGGGAAGGGTTGGAAGGGTTGGGGATGGTTTGGGAAGGGTTGGGAATGGTTGGGAATGGTTGGGAAGAGTTGGGGTGACACCACGGAGAGGTGGCACTGCAGGGAGGTGACACCCTGGTGACAGTGACATCACGGAGAGGTGACAGCACGGGGAGGTGACACCGCAGTGACAGTGACACCACAGGGGGGGTGACACCACAGTGACAGTGACAGCATGAACAGGGGACACCACAGGGAGGTGACACAGCGGTGACAGTGACACCGTGGGGATGTGACACCATGGAGAGGTGACACCATAGTGTCAGTGACATCATGGAGAGCTGACACCACAGTGACAGTGACACCATGGAGAGTTGACACCGTAGTGACAGTGACAGCACAGAGAGGTGACACCACGGTGACAGTGACACCACAGGGGGGTGACACCACAGGGAGGTGCCACCACAGGGAGGTGACACCATAGTGACAGTGACACCACGGAGAGGTGACACCACGGAGAGGTGACACCATGGTGACAGTGACACCATGGAGAGGTGACACCACAGACAGGTGACACCACAGGGAGGTGACACCACGGAGATGTGACACCACAGGGAGGTGAAACCATGTAGAGGTGACACCACGGAGAGGCGACACCATGGTGACAGTGCCACCACAGGGAGGTGACACCACAGGGAGGTGACACCACGGAGACGTGACACCACAGGGGGGTGACACCACAGGGAGGTGCCACCACAGGGAGGTGACACCATGGTGACAGTGACACCACAGGGAGGTGCCACCACAGGGAGGTGCCACCACAGGGAGGTGACACCATGGTGACAGTGACACCACGGAGAGGTGACACCACAGAGAGGTGACACCGTAGTGACAGTGACAGCACAGAGAGGTGATACCATGGGGAGGTGACACCATAGTGACAGTGATACCACAGAGAGGTGACACCAGGGAGGTGACACCACAGGGAGGTGACACCATGGTGACAGTGACACCACAGAGAGGTGCCACCACAGACAGGTGCCACCACGGAGAGGTGCCACCACAGGGAGGTGACACCACAGGGAGGTGACACCACAGGGAGGTGACACCACAGGGAGGTGACACCATGGTGACAGTGACACCACAGAGAGGTGACACCACGGAGAGGTGCCACCACAGGGAGGTGCCACCACGGTGGTGGCNGTTTTGGGAGGATTCTACCAGGTTTGGGAGGGTCATTCCAGTTTTGGAAGGGTTTTTGGGATTTTGGGTGGATCTTCCCAGTCTTGGGAGAGTTTCTGTGATATTTGAGAGGATCTTAACAATTTTGTGAGGATTCTCCCAGTTTCATGAGAGTTTTTGTGATTTTGGGAAGATTCTCCCAGTTTGTGGAGAATTCTCACGGTTTTGGGAGAATTCTACCAGTTTTGGGAGGCTCTTCCCAGTTTTGGGAGGGTTTTTCTAATTTTGGGAGGATCTTCCCAATTTTGTTGGATTCTCCCAGTTTTGTGAGAGTTTTTGTGATTTTGGGAGGATCTTCCCAATTTTAGGAGGATTATCCCAGTTTTGGGAGGATCTTCCCAGTTTCAGGAGGATTTTTTGATTTTGGGAGAACTCACCCAGTTTTGGGGAAGGTTTCTGATCCCACAGCTGAACCCAAATCCTCACCACTCTTGGCAAAATCTCCCCAATTTCAGTTAAATTCTCCCAATTTTGTGACCGCAGAACCCAAACCCCACCCAATTTTGGGTCCATCTCCCCATTTTTGCAACCTCTAAGCCCAAACCCTTCCCGATTTTTGGGCACATCCTCTCATCTCGATGTCCCCACCTCCCGGATTTTGGTGAGATTTTCCCGATTTTGGCTTTTCCACGCCCAAACCTCACCTCTTGCCCAGGGTGACGCCGGCCAGTTTGATGAGGTCCCTCATGCAGGGCGTGATGAGCACCGGGGGCTCGTCGCTGTCGCCGGCCTCGTCATAGCTCTCCACCTGCTCCACCACGAACTGGGCGTGGCGCAGCAGAGAGTCCTCCGTGAAACGGTTGAAGTTGAGCCCGGCCGGCGGCACCGTGGTCTGGGGGAATTTGGGAATGGTTGGGAATTGTTTGGGAATGGTTTGGGAAGGGTTTGGGAAGGGTTTGGGAAGGCTGGGAATTGTTTGGGAAGGGTTTGGGAAGGGTTTGGGAAGGCTGGGAATGGTTTGGGAAGGGTTTGGGAATGGTTTGGGAAAGTTTGGGAATTGTTTGGGAATTGTTTGGGAAGGGTTTGGGATGGTTGGGAACGGCCACTGATCCATCCAGAGATCAGCCATTCCAAGG